TTTCAGAAATGTTTGGGAATTTTAGTATTTACTGCACCTGAAAAGAAAAGGATATGGCTCCAACTGTCAGATTTTTCTCAGAAAGTAGTGGCAGGTATTCATTTGTAGCTCATCAAACTTTAAGGTGGAGAAGGAAATGAAGGTTGAATAGCTGTTTAGATGATTAACCAATCCACAGAAAGGTTCTGATAGGCGATTGGCTTTTAAATGTGACCACTGGGATTGGGTATTGGTATTTGGAAACAACTATTTTCACCATTGTACCAGCTAGTAACATTGATACAATCAGGCTCCTAATGATGATAATCTCATGATGACTCAGGGGCTGGCTATGAGCTTCTAATCATTGAGTTTTGAGGTTAGTGTGACAGAGGTGAGAGAGATAGTGTCCCCTATGCAGGACAGACTGACAGCGTCTGAGTGTCTTCCAGGGGTCAGAGTTCACTGCTGATTGTTTGCCAGAGGGACATGTTATCCTTTTGACATCCTTTTTCTTATGTCTTAGTTTCCCTTTAATCAGGCAAACAATGAGCTGTCAATCAGCACTGTTTGGTTTACACATCCAAATGTCATTAGCAATGCTGTTGTGGGTTCACACATCTGACCGACCGACTTGGTCAACATAAAGATGAAAGATAAGCTTGCTGACTCACAGCACAACAAACATGACAGCTGCTCTACACCGCTGTGTCTCTGCTTACAGCCAGGCTTTATGCATTGGGTCTGGGGCTATTGCTGAGCACTGTGTTTCTCAAGGCCTGTGTGATAATGAATGTGTTGATTGGATGCTCTGTGATGTGAGGGGACTGTGTTTGGGTCTGGCTGGCGTCCTGCCATCCACTCAACTTCTCACAGTTTTCTGGCATCATCAGCGATAATAGAAAATGTTATTGCGGGATGGAAACCTCTATATTACAGAGGCACTGAGTCTCAGTGTAAATTTCACAAGCCTGGGAAAAGTTGAGTAATGAACTCAGTGTAGCTTTCAGGTGTTGAAATGCTTTATAATTGACCCCTTTGCTACACCCCACCCATTTGTAATGGTCCATCAAGCTGTTGGAGCAAGCATGAAGCCTACCCTGTAATAACTACACTCCCTGAAGAAATATTATCACATTTTTGGACAAACAAAAATGTGATTTCAGAGAGAGGCGGACATAGGGGTCTGTAATAAATGTTTGAAGGATACATCCAAGATGTCAAAGTCACTCAGCTGCAAAAACAGGTTCAAAAGATAAATACAGTTTGAAGCTAAAGCTTAATTTACAAATTATAGTGTTAAAGTGAACCACCACATCGCTAGGCGATCGAGACAGAAAACAATGAAAATAAAGGAAAACTTTGCCGATATTCAATCAGCTGTGTGTCATTGCATTGTGTGTATATGAAAGGTGTTTCACTTCCACCATGCCGTCAGCCATCGGACCACCGCTGGTGGTGGGGTGGCCAAACAATGCTCATCTGCATACACTGTGATGACACAGAGATGGTTTTATATTGGCAACGTTTCCCTGTTTCCCTTCACGGGTTCCTGTAGAGCAGGGTGGGTCTTTATCCACTGTTATAATCATAAAAAGCAAACATAGCAGTAGTAGTAGTAGGCTATACCTTCCACCTAGCTAAAGCTACACTTTTCAGGGTTTGATTTTGGTTTTGGAACAGGGAAGAAACATAGATCTCCTCCCAACCTCCTCAGGTAACGAGTATCATTAATACACGTTACATTTAGTTCGAAATCCACAAAACCAGCCTGAAAATGAAGAAAATCTGAAACAATTGCATAAGAGTCTATGAAGCACAGCGATGTAGTTGTGGGAGCCTTGTTGGAGCTGGCCGATGCTGCGCTATGATTGGCCAGTCTGCATTGAGAGACGGGACTTAGCAAAGGGTCAATTACATCAAAGACCTTGAATGTTCAGACTAGGGCTGCACGGTATATGCGGTAGACGGTAGAAATTATATAAATTTGGCCCATGGTAGAGATTTGCGCTCTGCCGTCCTATCGTCGATGACGTCATTGCACCTGCCTCAGTGTGAAAATGGCTGCAAGCACAGAGACAGCGGAGCAAGAGGAGCTGGTTCACGTCCGTGATTTAGCGTAGCACGTGCAACGTGTTGCTGGAGAACTTGTGAGTGAGTGAGTTAATGTCTTATGAACAGCCCCGGACTTCTCAGACTCTTTTAGCGACTTACCGCTCAGAGGGAACTCATTCAGTGTCTCCTCTGGCAGCAGCACAGCGTCTCTCCCTCTCCTCTCTCGCCGTGCGCACACGGGAGTTGGTTTTCGGCAAGAGAGTTTGTCATAAACCTTTGGTAATGTAAACCTATGTGACGCTAGGGGCTCCACAAAAAACTCCATATGTGAATGTGTGATAGTTGTGGTATCATAGCAGCCTGTCACAGGTTACAGCGTGATGATTAGAGGAGAAATGGCAGAGCATAAAGGTCCAGGTGGAAAAAACACAACTCAGTCATTTAGGATTTTGCTAAAAGAAGGAAATTACCTTTTGATATAGATCCCAGGGGACATTTTGCACCATAGAGTGCTGGGTTTTAATTTTGAGTTTTGAGATCTGCATTCTGCATAATAAATGCTCTAAAAAATACATTATATCTTTGCTTTTGTTGTTGTTGTTTTTTATCAATTTAGCTTTGCTAAGGGACTACAAAACCCATTCAGAAACACTTCTATTATAACTTTTACACTTAAATTTATACTGCAATATATACCGTTACCGTGAAGGGATTCGATTTATACCGTGACATGAATTTTAGGTCATACCGCCCAGCCCTAGTTCAGACGCATAGAGTTAAGACCCAATTACATATGAAGCCACAGATCAGGAGTCAGCAGTTGTAGCTGTGATAGCTATAAATTATTCTGCCCCCATGAGACCACTGATTCTCTCAGGGCAAATTGCAGTATAGTGTAAAGTTTCTACAATGCTATATATACGAATGCTGCATCTAGCCTTCACTGGAAAAGAAACTAGAGACTTGTGAAGTTAAGCAAATTTTACATATATAGCCCTTTATCACAAATGCTGAGATATGTGTAGAAATGCCTCCTTAAATCACTAGTATCCCTCCACATACTACATATATAGTTGAAAATCATAACTGGAACCACTGACATTTATGTGGATACCATCTTGATACCCACCACCTTTAACAAACACTGTTGCAGACAAAATACACCCCCTCATGCCAACAGCACTCCCAAATGACCTTGCCCCCCCCGATCAGATTGGGATCTGGGAAATTTGGAGGCCAGGTCAACGCCTTGACCTCTTTGTCACATTCCTCGGGCCATTCTTGGTCACTTTTTGCTGTGTGGCATGGTGCAGAGTCCTGCTGGTGAGGTCACTGCCGTTGCCATGAGGGGGTGTACTTGGTCTGCAACGGTGTTTGGGTGGGTGGAGCGGGTCAAGATGGCATCTACATAAATGCAAGGACCCAAGGTTTCCCAGCAGAACACTGCATTGTAACAATATGATCAATGTTTTCCATTTTAACTATCAGTGGTTTCAATGTTGTTGGTTTTCCATGCACTGCTGTAAAAGAGCTTCTGGAGAAACCATTGTGCTCTTGTGGATCTCTGCCAACACCAGCCGAATGAAATAATTGGCAAACTTATCTCAGGAAAGCAAATGATACTGGTTTGCTCACATGTACGTCCTCTGAGTAATCTCCATTCATTGCATATTGGGAACTAGTCATTTTGACAGGATGAGCTGGTTGAGGCCGGAGAATGAGTAGACAGACAGAGTACTGCAGCTATGTTGAAGGCGTGTGGCCAGGCCAGTCGGCCTACTCCTTCTTCACAATGGTTTCTTATTGTGGCACAGGGAAAACTGACTGCACACTGACAGGCAACCACACCAAGAAGATGAATACAGAAAGTAAAAATTAGAGCAGGTTTGATGGCTCTCCTGCTCTAACAGTGCCTGCCTCAGGAGCCCTCTGGGCTTGGAGGCCATGTGTAAATTATTCATTGAGGACTCTAACACCTTCGGGTGCTTAACAGGATTGAAATGATCAAAAAGAGTCTAGAACAGATTAGATCCTGGAGCTGATGGGCAGCTTGTGTGCAGAATGTGTGACCTTTCCAAAGGCTATTTATGAGACTCTCATTAACAAGTTTGTTTTGTCCTGTAGAAAAAAATGAAAGTGTCAGAGTATCAAGTGTCAGAGATGAGGCATCTCTTCGTCCCTGGTTGCTCTGATGGTCACCATATTGATCGTTGTTGGTAAAACACCACCTGACAATCTGACAAATGTCCTCCAAAGACTGGTGCAGATTGTTAATGCACAAGATTTAAGTAAAATACAGGTAACTTACAGTCTCATGCACCTGGCCATTTTTAAATATCTAACTGCCAAAAACACGTTAGCTTTCTCTATTTGCGGGCAGCGGCTCTGCCCCAAAATACATTTTTCCACCAATAAAATGACTGCATCCTGTTTTGGGAACACTTAAGTGTTAGCCATAGTTTTCAAATGCTGCACGTCTGTAACCAACAAGTCTTGTGACATGAAAAACTGTAGCTTAAGCATCTAATGCAGTTTCACCTCCTCACACGCTAGGGTTTAAAAAGGTTAACCACTAACCCAAACAAGGAAATGACAGGGTACTGGTCTGAGTGCTTGATGTGATTGGATGTAAGAACATGCTCAATAGTGTGTCCTGTCTGTGGCATTTTTGTCTTAAAGTTGGATATTGCTATCTATGGTTTCTCTGTGCTAAAATTATTTTGAGCACAGAGAAACCGAGAAAAAAAAATCAGTGGGATGACAAACTACATTTTGGCCGTGGCAGGGAATTAAGTTGTCCCTATCAGCCAGCTTGGCAGGCAAACAGTCAATGTTGACATCCTATACTTGATGCTGGCTGGAAGAACACTCAAGGGAGGGGTGAAGCTTGAATTAGAGTCAAAATACAAAGCAATAATGACAAGACGGTGATATCACCAGGAATGTAATACTGCTGGAGGACTTACCCATGGTGGCAGCTCTGAAGTGGGCACACTTTGCTTCACTACTTTGTCCTCATAATCCAGGAATGCTAAGGCACGGTTTATCCTGTAGTCTTTATTGCCATGGTTTTTCCTCCAATAGAACAACATGGCGAGTCCAATCAGAACCCAACTAAAGCTGAACTCAAAGTACCCCAAGACATAGATCGGGAAGATAATGGCAAAAGTCTTGCCGAACTTAATCCACATTTCAGTGACATCTGTCAGAGTTGACTGTGGCTCTTCCTCCAGCTCTTCTGGGGACAGAGGTGGGCCTGTGGGGGAGCTCACCGGGCTGCTGGGCGCTGCGATGGGTCCATTCGCCCTGACACCTGGTCCCGCCGAACCCTCCATTCTGTTACTCATTTCCCCACTGGAAAGACAATTTTGACATTTAAGTAAAATGTTGGTATCTTGTCACACACAGAGACTTCAATTTGTATCTCAACAGGTCAAAGGTCAAACAATTATACCACGGACATGCTGCTGTTTACTCTCTGGAATACACATAAATCATGATAGAGAATCAACAAGCTAACTACTCAGTGTCATAAATGTAGCAATGAGATTCTGTGCCTTACAAAGTTATTTGGTTAGTGCTAACATTAATTAGATTCTTTTTTATATTTTATTTGTTAATTGTTTACTTAAAATGTTGGTTTATCAAATAAAGGATACTACAGATAACTGTGCAGTAAAAGGCCTATCCCAAATCTCCATGTTACAGCAATTCTCCTTCAACAAGTAGTCAATAAAAAGTTAATAACATGTAAATGACTAAAACATTTGGTCAGCATCAGACCAAAAATTACTTCATTGTTTTATCTATTTACTAATACCAAATGTTTTCACAGGCCTGTACTGCATATTCATACAGGCTGAATTGTTATTCAGGTGTCTACCCTGTATGGAGAGGACGTCATACAAAACTCCTTTGCAAAAATGTCATCTTTTGGTTACCTTGACTCCTTATGAAACTAGCAACAGCCCGAACTTAAAAGGTTGGAATTTCCGATATAATTAGAAACTTTACAAAGTACTCTTCAATTCGGCGCACATTCAACACACCTACACACCATTTATTGCAGAATTTTAACTTTTAAACTGGTTGCCAATGTAGTCTACTGTCACCACAACACAACACCGCGGATGGCAACGTCAAGCGTGAAGTGATTACAGGAGTAGAGGTTTCTACTGTAATACGTGTTGTTTGGTTTGGGTTTATGTATGCCGAATAGAGGACTATCGACTATTAAATCCAAATTGTCATTAAGTGATTGGTTACGATGCGTACAGTTTGACCGTTACGCACAGCAAATCTTAATTGCCAGCTTTTTTGAACGGAGTCAGTCGTGACGTTCTCTCCACAAAGTGACACGTATTGGGGCTACGACTTCACCACCAGCACTGCGTAAACCAAACACCAGCGAAAAAACTACTTCTTCCTCTCCGCTCACCGCTGACAACGCAACACACTCACCAGTATCCGCCTGCGACATTCGCTCTTCCCTGAAAAAGAAACTAAAATTCGCTCCACCAGCCCGGTTCACAGCATGCCGACCAGCTTATCTCAGATAACGCTGTCTCCCCCGTCAGTACATCTTGCTGTGAGGGCGGCCAGTCCCTCTCAGCCTGCCTGCAGGAAACTGTCATCGCGGGAAAGAGGTCAGCCTCCGACAGGGAGGGAGTTTCAAAACACTAACACAGCAGCAACCCTCGGCGCCATCTGGTGGCGGGTAAAAAAAAAAAAAAGGCACCTTCAATGCTCAACAATATGAAAATATGTTTTGAGCAATATTTAAAGCAGGAACTCAACTTGCTTTGCCCGGGGGCCAGTATTGGAAAATGCTGTTTGCTGTCATCTTTGCCAAGAGGCAAATCTAGTTGCAGCAGCCCTGCACAGGTCAGGTGCACCCAGGGGCGTTTCTAGGAATTTAGGACATTTGAGGCTAAGCCCGGAGCTCTGTCAGGGTTCAGGCTCTATTTAGATGTTTTTTTTAATGCACTCTGGCACCTTATTTACATTTTAAGTACAAAAAATAATCTCAGTGTGAATCAATTTATTTTAATTGTAAATTACAAAATAATAGAAGTCCACCCAGCACACTATTGCAGGCCACATTTGGCCCATGGGCTGCAAGTTGAGCATCACTGCTTTAGAGTTTTAATGGCCCTCCTGTCCAGGTTTGGCAAGACCAAATGCAATATGTTTTATATAGACCTGGTCCACTGTGGTCAGGTCAAAAGCCATTAAATCAAGCTTTTTTGTTTAAAGGTCAGGTGTGGAAAAGTGATTTTTTTTAACAGTAATGTCATGTTTTTCGCGTTGTGTTACTTGTGCGAGTTTGAACACTGGAATACTTTGTGTTGACTTGCTTCATATGCTCGAATAAGTCGCCTCACTCGGTCATGAAATCACTGAATCAATGAATGAATATCATCCAGTATATTGTCAGCGTTGCATATCCCTGGAAGATCTCAATGCTGATTGGCTATCGTGGCGCTCCATCATTCATCATCATCCACATTGCGTTTATTGTGCCGCCTGGCGAGAATTCACATCTAATTGTGACTGTACGTTGACTTCAGATGTAATACACTCAGGCAAGTTGTTTTATTCACGCTCAGTGTGAACACAACATAGAAGTCTCAATGTTAAGCAAGACCAGGTTTGACAGTTATTTAGTTTGTTTTCTTTAGACCTGGTCAAATGTGGTCTGGGTGAACAAATAGAATAAAGTACACACAAATGTGAAAATGGGGGTTGTAAATTGCACTTGAAGGATTTAATTGTGATCTATGGTTATTTACTTAATTGTTTTATTATATTTTCTGTAGCCGAGTGGCCTACATTTGATTTCTCTGCCTACTGGTATGAAAGCCTTTTTTGTACTCCTAAGAATGAAACTGTGGTAGGCATTGTATTGTTCTAATTCAAATTTAAATATATCAAGTCTTAAGATACACTACATGAATTAGCCTGTGAGATACTAATCATGTATGATAGAGTTTAAATATATTACAAGCAGAATTGTACTTTTTTTGTCCATTTTTATGTTTGTTTTTTCTCCCTAAACACAACTTTAATACGGTAGATAAGATGCCAAAATGCATCATACTGTCTTGTGCCATTGGTTGACTCCAATCTTCTCCAATTTGGCCTATCCCTTCCAAATGCCATCAGGGCTACAAGCCTTTGACCTCTGACTGTTTCATCCTATTTGCTGCCTGTAACGTTGGAGCTTAATCCGCTGTTGACCTCATTGTAATTTAAAACGCATAGGCTTAGTAAGACAGCCAGGTGTTTAAAGAGATATAAATGAATCTCTATAATCCAAAGAGAACATCATGATGTTGAATCTAAGTTAGTTAAGAGTAGGGTTTAGGGTTGATACAGAGTTGGACAGCAGAGTTTGCACAGAGAGCGTTTCCCCACTAGGTGTCATGGTAGCTTTTGTAAACTGAATTTAAATCCACCTCATAGACAGTGAATTTTTCTCACCATGCAGCAACAGTTGATATAAGTGAACTCATGAAACAAAACTATTTCAGATCTGAAATTTACAATATACAACAATCCTGTGTTCTTTTTCTGGGAGGTGCATCAATTTAAAACACATTTTTGAAATTGAAATAAACACTTTAATTTTGACAAAAGAAGAGAAAACATCACATTTTTAATTTGTTCACGCAGGGACCCACTATGTATCCTTTCTCTTGACAGCTCATTTTGCCTTATGCTCCTCAGAAACCTGGCATGAATGTCCACGCAAATGGGAGATAAGACACACGGGGAAGAAAGAGGACAAAATTAAAACACATGAAGGATAAACTTTGGTAAATTAATAGAGGATTTGGGTTCAAGAAAACTTGTTTGTCTGCCATCTTTTTCCTTACATGTCATATCTTTAGCCGTGTATTTACTCACCCGCTGTTTGCTATTCAAGAAACTCCTGAAGGTTAAGTAGATTATCTTGGTGTCATCCTCGTCACATTGTGTGGCCCCTATGAGTACTCTGATGATTGGATGCATTACAGAGAGGCCATTTAACTTTGGGTCAAGAGATTCCCAGGAGGCGAAAGTAATAGGTAATTAAGATGAGCACATTTCTGACCAAACTAAATATAGATAAAAGTAATGATCGCAAAATAATGGTAAAGGACAAAAGCACCCTTTAACATTGCTATGTTTATTATTCTCATATCGCTTTCTCCCCTCTATGAAACATGCAGGGCAGTGACAGTGAGAAGGATGAGGAGGAAGATGAGGAGGGTGGGAGAACAGCAATTTTCAAAGCAGCGAGACAATAAACATCCTGCGTCTCCAGACTGTTCAGGTAGGAGAAAAGAACTGAGGTGGAAAAGGATGGGTTTTTGTTTAAAATCAAACCCAAAGACACTTAAAGTTTGCTAACAGACACATTTTACAATTGTGAAAATATTATTTTGAGCTCATATTGCACTTACAATGTTTCATTTATATGTTAATTTTGTAGGGGGAATGCCCCCTGGAGCCTCCTGCAGGGTTGGAGTTTGTTAACTGTGATTTTTTTCATCCCACTTGAATGTGCAGGAATGACTTGAAGTTTCCACAAAAAAAAATAGAATAATAATCATAAAGAAGCTTCTGCAAAAGGTGTTAAAAGTTCCTCTGTGTTGAAAATTCAATAACTATGCAAATATATTTAGCCAAGTTATTTCCATTCTCAGTGTACATGCATGAGCTGGGGTTTCAAGTTTCCACATCATGCTTGTGTGATTTGCACCAGACCGTGGTTAGCCTTGTGCATTCACATGTTAAAGGAGCTCTATGTGGAATTCAGAAGGTATGATTTGTCTGCACACAGTTCTCATCATGGAAGTGGCTGAGCCCAAGGCTAGCAGCTAACGGTGCTAACTCCATAAACAGTGCTAAGCAACAGCAACTGACAGAGCTAATGGTGTTAATCTAAGGTGAGCTGGAGGCTGGATGCTACGCTTTCCTGAGGGCAGCGTCCCCATGGAGCCCTGGAGATTCTAAAGCCAAACCCTTCTCCCTGTTTTTATTGCCTAAACCCAACCATGTGTGTTTGTTGTTGAAGGAAAACAAACACCAATACGCAGTGTTGTACTGACATAATACATTTATTTTGAAAGAGCCTGTTCAATTTCATGTGTAAACTTAAGTGTATTTTGAAAGAAGACAATGCATGTTACAGGCAGAACTTGACACTGTGTCCCAGAACGTCAACAACTAATGCACCCAGGGTACCTTGTGCGCCGTATGTGGACGTGGAAAGTCCATGACCAAACGTCAATATGTGACAAAGTCGGAGCGTGAATGTGTTGCCCCATGGCGATAATTGCCTAATGGGCGCAGTGCAAAGAGGCAATGATGAGCAAGCCAGTTGGATACACGCGTGCACTAACCTGCACACATGGATGGAGCAGCTTCCCACAACAAACCACAGAGAAGCATGGATTCCAGCACACACACACACACACACACACACACACACACACAAAGCTCAGGGTGCCATTACTCCAATATGTCTTTACACTGCAAATAATGGTTTTCTACAATATTAATGTTCTGAATGTCTCCTACAAAACTTTTCAACACAGATCTCAGGGAAGCACAGAGAAACCTTCCCCATTCAGCAGAGGCTGTTAGAGCAGCTTTTCTGTGACAAACTCTTCACATACATAATTTGTATGGTCAACCGCAAAGGCAACAAACCTCAATAAAACCCTTTTTTCCTCCTGAAGAGTTCCATCACTCACATCATGGACCCGACAATGCAGAAAGAGTGAGCAGTCATTATGGTTGTTCTGGTCCCTGTAGGTGTTACTCATGGGGTAATATACTTAGTCTTGATTTAAGGTGATCATGTCTAAAATATAATTCCTGTAATGAGGCACATTGTGGGATTTCACCCTTTATTCTTTGTGAAGCTACATCTCACATGTTTCACAGGTGTGAAATGTGACTCAGCTTGAGTGCTTTAATTTAGAGTAGTGCTTTTTCATTCAATTTTTTTTTTTCTAGGCAGGTATTAATCATCACAGGAATCTGTCAAATCGGAGCAGTTTTCCATTTACCTCATCTGCATTAGATGAGTTGCTGCTGTCAGCCAGTCACAGCCTCTTACTGTGACTGGCTGTATACAGTTTTTTCTAATGGTGCATAACACTATTAGAAAGAATATTATTTGTACTAAAGGTAAATGATAATCAGAATCATTCACTAAGAGTAGTGCTTGTGAACAAAATATTAAGTATACCAAAGCAATCCTTCCATGAGTTTGTACATGACATGACAGGCGTGGTAAGCACTCGATCAGCTTGTCTGTACTGATTTTCTACCAATATAGTTTAAATGTGAAAGTGTGAACGCCTTAAAAAGGTTTTTAGAACATATTAGCTTAGTTACTGGATAAAAAACAAAACAAAAAAAAAAACACAGACACAGCAGAAGAAAAAAGCATTTGCTGCTCTGAAGGAACAAAATTGCGATGTAACAATCTACGAAAATATTGAACTCTTTGCACAGACTGATAATGTCATTATTAATTTAAACTATTTGAAATGGTTAGTAGGAGCCGAATATCCTTGATTTAGTTAAATCAAAGAGGAGACTTTCATCGGGTTTAATTAA